ATATATATGTGTGTGTGTGTGTTAGAGTTGCCAACTGCGTTGTATTTCTCAAGATCTTTAACTCCCAAAAAACCCGATATGGCTCACAATAAGTAGTTTATGAACAATCAKAGGTTTCCTGAGAAAGCTGGACAAGTTTGGAATATAAACTTAAAACATTCAACTGAATTCAGAATCTTAAGATTAATTCAGATAAAATAATATATTATGGATTCAAATGTTAAACGYTGCAGCTTATAATCTCCAGATTTGGCAAATTCATACATTCAAAAAACTATTTACAATTTTTATATTAGATTATTAAAGAATTCAGAAGTCTCCTCAAGAGAGTGTGTCAAAGTAATATTTATGTTAAAAACATTTAACAAGAGTACAATTGCCGAAAAACTGAAAAAGGAACGTGGAAGATCTCACGCTAACTTACTTACGTGTACCTACATTGATTTTTGGGATAGATAAGATGTACCATATTTTAATGGGTACAGACTTCAATATTAATAAACTGTTTTCTATATCCATCTTCATCTCGCTCCAAACTAAAACCATCAAAGTATTTTATGAAAAAAAGTCGTTCAGTATGAAATCATAGCTGAGTACCTATACTTACTACGGCGTGTTATAAATTAAATAACTATTTAAATATTTCTCTAAAATATTGTTAAGTATCCATTTTTTTTTTAAATAATCAGAATTTTTTGTCGTTTTCGAAGAATGAAAACGATTGGAATTTCCTATATATCAGTGGCGAAACGACCGTGGTCTTTGAGAAGCGATTGCTTCTCGATTTTTTTTAAGGTTTGGAGGTAAATGTTTATTAAAAAAAAATATTTTAAATATATAAGAGGTACCTATAGCCCGTAAGTCGGTGGGTGGGTGTGTAAATTGTAAGTACTAAGTTTGCTTATGTGTTATTTTAGGTTCGTTTCGCCACTGCTATATATAATATATATATGATATTAAGATAATTATAAATTATTTTATACTATATTCTTATAACTTATGTGATCTAGTTTTATAATTTAGATGTTTGTCGATAGCCAAACTGGACCATACAAATAACAAACTATAGTCTACAAGTTTATAAGCAGGATAATCTACAATATTATACGAGTATAATAAATTTCACTAATTATTTATTTTATTAATGATATAATAAATAATACTTAATGATGATTTAATAGTTTCCGAAAATCTAAATAATTATAAATAAACATTTATTTAAAAAATATAATTAAATTCGTTACAACTTCATGATGTTTATATATATTATAAATCATCACTCATAGACCTAAACTAGAGTCTAGGTCCGTACATTAAGCACCTATTTTGTGGGGGGAAAGTATAAGCTGGAAACTTTCTGTTTTGAATAAAATGTACGGGTAAAATAATAAAACAATTTGTTGAATTTTAACGTTTTGATCGATTGCTCAGGTAATAGAGCGAATATTCTGATTTCGTAGCGTCGTTTTCAGTATAACCATTGATTATAAACATAAATTTATAATATTTATATTTATTTATTTATTTATTTTATGTATCTATTATANCGAAGAATGAAAACGATTGGAATTTCCTATATATCAGTGGCGAAACGACCGTGGTCTTTGAGAAGCGATTGCTTCTCGATTTTTTTTAAGGTTTGGAGGTAAATGTTTATTAAAAAAAAATATTTTAAATATATAAGAGGTACCTATAGCCCGTAAGTCGGTGGGTGGGTGTGTAAATTGTAAGTACTAAGTTTGCTTATGTGTTATTTTAGGTTCGTTTCGCCACTGCTATATATAATATATATATGATATTAAGATAATTATAAATTATTTTATACTATATTCTTATAACTTATGTGATCTAGTTTTATAATTTAGATGTTTGTCGATAGCCAAACTGGACCATACAAATAACAAACTATAGTCTACAAGTTTATAAGCAGGATAATCTACAATATTATACGAGTATAATAAATTTCACTAATTATTTATTTTATTAATGATATAATAAATAATACTTAATGATGATTTAATAGTTTCCGAAAATCTAAATAATTATAAATAAACATTTATTTAAAAAATATAATTAAATTCGTTACAACTTCATGATGTTTATATATATTATAAATCATCACTCAWAGACCTAAACTAGAGTCTAGGTCCGTACATTAAGCACCTATTTTGTGGGGGRAAAGTATAAGCTGGAAACTTTCTGTTTTGAATAAAATGTACGGGTAAAATAATAAAACAATTTGTTGAATTTTAACGTTTTGATCGATTGCTCAGGTAATAGAGCGAATATTCTGATTTCGTAGCGTCGTTTTCAGTATAACCATTGATTATAAACATAAATTTATAATATTTATATTTATTTATTTATTTATTTTATGTATCTATTATAATATCAATGGTATAACTATTATTTAGAATTTTCGGCATAATTATTATACGTTTATACCTATGTCGACTATTTACAGTATACAATTTTAGAATAGAATTATAGAAATCTTTATTCTTTAATACGGTAAATAACCGCAAAATATATAATTTCATGAATATCATGTCGGCAGGTAAAAATATATATATTTTTTAAAAATGCAAAATTTCCCTTTCCTAAACATMTTTTTCAAGTGATACTAAGAGTACATCAACACTGTAAACTGTATCGCGTAATCATGATTTTGGCATTATCAGTTTTCGGCATCGGCATTCGCATTCGGCATTTTTCTGTTTTCATTTCGTCCGAAGAGTAACACTTATTTTTATTTACWGTATTACTACATTATTTTCATACCTTCTAAGTGACCAATTTGCTGGTTTTTGTTTTGATGTTTGATTATTTGGCTTTTATTAAACTATATATTAAACACGCAATACATAATGTTGTGATTTACTTTTTAATATAATTTTGAAATTTAATACTTTTTCTTTTTAAACATACAATGTTAATTAAGAAGGATCTATTCGTATAAAAACACTGATCCTTGGTACAATGATGACATGTTAACCACCAACGAATTGTTTTTACTAGCACTATTAGCTGAAAACTCCTCTTTTGACAGTCATCAATTGGCCGCGATATTGCTGTTGTTAAGTCAAAATCATCTTTTATCTGAATGTAGTTCTTCATCGTCATCATCACATCAGTCGATGGAACAACGTCCATACTTTGGCCAGCGGGATGGTCACATAAGAGATGCGTTACTGGAAAAAGAGCTGGAGTGGTTGGCCAAGGAAGACCGTGGCAAAAGATTACGTGTCGATCGACAAACATTTCACAAGTTATTGGCTAAGTTGCACCCATACATGGTTAAAGTTAAAAATGGACTAAAAGTGAGTGCTGCTAGACGTTTAGCAGCAACACTTAGATTTCTTGGTACCAGCTCTACGCTGCAAGAAATTAAGGTTGACACCCATATATCACCTCAAATGTTAGCAAAGATCATTGTAGAAACTTGTGATTGTATTATAGAAGCACTCAAAGACTACATTAAGGTATTTTTATTTTTATATATTATAATCTAGATGTATGTACCTATGTATCATTGTATCCAACAATATTTCCTCATTATAAAAATTTGATATTATGGCATATCCAGAAACACAGGGCAATCTCCTTGTTTTTTTTTTTTATCTTACCAATGTTATTTAAATATAACATCTAGCCTTCTAGGTATTTAGTATTTTTTTTTTATATAGAAACTTTGTGGTTTTACAATTTTACTTCAACATTTACATATATGTTTACAATTAAATTAAATTTACTATTCTTAATACATTTGTTTAACTAAAACAATAATGATATATTATTTTATARCTTAATATTAGTAATTAATAATTATATCCATGCTATGTCATCTGGCTGAAATCATATATCTAAATATTCTTTCAACATTTTTAACACTGTTAATCTAATTTAACCTAACTTGACATGAATTATGAGAAATTCAAAGCTCATTATTTGTTAGGCTGTCAACATATTTGTCTGGTATCAGTTTTGAACTCAAATTAAAAAATAATCAATTATTAGTCTGATCCTTATGACCTTATATAGGTAATCCCTATATTATTAATTTAGTATCAATTATATTTTTTTACGTAGTAAATTAAACTTCTACTACTACTTCTTGAATAATTAAAAGGTTATTTTTAAGTATCTAGTTAGCTTATGACATTTCCTCTAGTACCTACTCTCAATTTAACTTATTTAAAATTAATTAATTTTTTATTATGGTACTCGTCTAATATGCTACCTACCATAAAATGGTATCTACCAAAAAACTGTATGCGTGTAGTATGCTACCTACCTTAGTTATTTTTATTTCATTTTATTACAGGAAAATACATTTGAGTCATTAAGATAAATAACATTACCTATAGCAGTTGTACAAAATTATATCTTAATAGCCATTATGGTATCTGATCCACCAAGACCCATGATAACTTACTGTTAGATATATTATTTTAGTCTATTTTGTGTCTGTGTTTGTGTAAGTGTCCTATTCGTTGAGAGCTTTACTTTTTATTTTTTTAGTTTATTATAAACAGAAATGAATACATAAATGCGCTATTTGTACGGGCATATAATATGTAATGAGGAAACATGTGTTAATTATCTTTTAGGGCCGGTTTCACCACTACTTTWAACTACGATTAAGTTAAACCGGGGTTTAATTGGCCGAATTTGGCCGGTTAAATAACTGTTATCAGTCGATTAAGCGTAATCGACGTTTAAAGTATTTGGTGAAAGCGGCCCTAAGAGAGAAACTTACTCCCAGAACTTGGTAGTTGTTCCAAATTAAAAGATGGTGTTATTTGTTGAGGTACATTGAAAGAATATCAAAAAAATTAATAAATTGTTGTTAATTTGTTATTATTTTACGATAGGTAGCATATTAGACAAGTACCATTAATGACTGAGCAACCCTCAATTTTGTGTAAAATAACCGAGTAACCATTTWATATTTTAATATAAGTTTTTGTCTACACACTAACTTATTCAATCAAGAATTATTTGCTAACTTTTGTTTAAAAACAATGTATAGTGCATGATAAATTAAATAAATATTTAACTAATATGTAATTTTAACTATAATTATATAGATTTCTATAAACATGTTTTTAATTTATATAGTTAAACCAATCATTTTTCAAATTAACTAAAAATAAAAGTAATAAGTAATTACAAATTACAATAAACAATTAATCTAATTGAGTTAATAGTGTACTAGTGCTAATAAAAATAATTTACTAGGTACTTGAATAATTTAAAACCTGATAAAATACAATTTATAAGTATATAGTTAATGCCCTCCTGATAGTTAAGGTTACTAAAAAACTATTTTAAAAATGATTGAATAGGATGATCCCAAATTTTTATTTTACTTTAAATAGTGCTAGAAAAACACGTTTGAAAAATAACAAATATTATGTATTTTCCAAATGCACAATTTAGTTTCTATTATTTGAAATTAAAAAAAAAAAATTAACAGAATCCAACTATTCCTACAGGGCGTGAGAGTTTTTCCTGTAAGACGCGTTTTTGTACTATAAGCACACCGGATTCAACGCCCTTAATCATTAACTCGTTTAAAATTTGATATTTACATTTGACATCAGCTAATATAGGTAGGTAGTCAAAGTTATAATAATTTAATGTATAAAATATAAATACTTTAATATTTTTTTTTTTTTTACTCATCAATTWGACTTTTGTTGTATCTGATAGTAGAGACTGTCCAACTATGGTGAGCGCGCAAGACGTGGGCCCCACTCACCACGCTTCCATAGGGCCCTGGACTATACCACATTAGCTGATTTTAAATACTGTGAACAATTTTCTAATAAAAACAAATTGTAGTTCATTTTGTTAATAGTTTAGTTCATCTAAATTTCTATTTGTGGTATTTTTTTTGTATATTAAAAACAATATATATTTTACAGACATTTTTTTGTGATATAGTTTCTGTAAGGGCCATTTCACATGGACGTGTATTATATGCAATGTATCATACACGCACGTTTTCAGTTACATTAGTTAAATGCATATGTGTCACTCCGGCGATGACGTGTTTCCCTCTCCAATATGACACGTATGAACTTAATCAATGTAAACTAAAAACAAATATTACTTTGTTATATTAATTTTTAAAATTTTTATATAATATTGTTGCATAGAGTTAAAATTGAATATTTATAATGATAACAATTTTGTTAGAAATCAAAAAATTAATATGACTTATTTATTTTTAGTGTCCTCAAACTGAAGATGAATGGATGCGAGTATCAACAACTTTTGAACGTACTACAAGGTTCCCGTCATGCTTAGGCGCTGCATGTGCGCGTCATATTGAACTTCGTAAGGCATCTAAAGCAGATTCTGATTATCTTAATGAACGTCGTAGACCTAGTGTCTTATTAACAGCTGTAATAGATTCTAATTATGAGTTCCTTGTAGTAAACACGTGCCCAAGTGGGCATCTTTCTGAAGATAATCCACCGAATAGAATTTTAGAACGCAAATTAAGAATGTCAAAGTTACCATGTCAGCTGGATTCTAATCAGTTACCTTATGTATTTGTAGCTGATGAAAGTTTTAAACTTCAGGAAAATTTTATGGTACCCTACAGAGCAGTGAATGATAAAGGTGGTGAGGCTAATAAACTATTTAATAGACAATTAGTCAGGGCCAATCAAAGAGCAGCAAAAACTCTGGCCATCATGGCATGGAGATTTGGTATACTCCAGACACCAGTTAACTTAGAAGCAAAAAAAGTACAAATCATTGTTAATGCCTGCTGTTATCTTCACAATTTCTTTAAGCGTGAAAGTGCATATTATATAGACAGTAACATGGAAGCTGTCATCAAAGCAGATATGGCGCCAATTGTGTGGGGTCCAAATACTACGGTCATACCGCACATCAATAATTGTGATAGCGACCCACAATATGTAAGGGATAGTTTTTCAAAATATTTGTATACTCTATCTAAACACCAAAATCGTGTCTGTAAATAACTCATATTAATATAACCTGTCAGTTGGTTTTTATAGTTCATTTGTCTATTTAGTATTAAAAATATTATGATTTCTTGTTAATATTAACATAAAAACATAGTACTGAATACTAATTATTTTATACTAGTCTATTTGAAACTATTTTGTAATGTAGGTATACTAGATATAATATTGATACTTGATGTATAATGTTAAAACCTTGTTTTAATAATAATAAATTCAATAAATTGAAATTAAATTAATAAATAATAAACATATTAAAAAAAATATATATAAGAAAAAACAATTTAAACCTATTAATGATAATGTTTGTTTAATTGACGTTTTATGCACAACTATAAATATAACACTAGGTTTTAATGACTGAAATTATTAACTGGTTATACATTGGAGGTCTTCCATAATTCACACTCGCCAATTTTTTAACTTGATTATATTGTTTCTACTAATAAACACTTAATGTTATTTATTTATTTTTATCAAAAAATGTACCAATATTAATTACAGGGTGTGAGATGGTTTGTTTAATATAATGAAATATATTCTGTAGAATAATTATTAATTACAAGTATTCATTTAATATATTCAAATGTGATTAAAACAATTTAAAATCAAGTTATCACATTTTACACAACCATCCCTGTATTTAATTTGAAATGCATAAATTCCGCGAAAATTAATTAAAGGTGGTTTCATAATTAAATAAAATTATTCATCTAAATGTATACTTATAGCATAATATGTTCTTTGTTTACACAAATTTAAATCAAATCATACTATTTATGATTACATGATGTTTTAAAAAGTAATACTCTTAATATCATCACATATATTTTTTTTACCAATATTTTAATATTGAACACTACCAGGTGAATTTTTCTTCAAAGTGTAAACTACATGCTAGATAAGTTAAATTATTAAACATTTTTTTTWAAATGTCAATTTTTAATTTAAAATATCTGTTTAAATTTGGCTCTTTTTTTAAACATTTAAACTCTAAATATTTAACATGGTATTAATGATGTTTAAATAATAAATACATTAACTAAAGTTATTATAATTTTGGTCAATTTACTGATACTTAAAAATACTCAACTCTGACGTTTTATAAGAATATGCTGCAAAAATTTAATTTGTAGATTATGAACCAAGTTAAGTTGGTAGATTATATTTTTTTAATATTTCTTTTGTTATAACTATATTTTTTTAATGTTGTGAGTTTATTATATTTGTGGGCCTTGTGATTTAACTCAATACAATTTTACTAAGACTATATTCTATGATAAAAAATATTAAATTATTTAGTTTTTATGTGTTAATGTAGTCATGCTTATTAGATTTAAAATACATATGTATATAAATAATTATACTGATGTATTTACAATCAATTGTTTTTTGTAATTTAACAATTTTTTTTTTTTAATATTAAGAAATTATTTATCTTATAAAATTTCTTTTAAAACTGTCGGTAAAATATTATATGCCTTATTTGAAATTTGATGAATGTATATTCCTTATATTTCTTTAGATTTTGTATTTAAATGTACTGCAAGAAATAAAAAGACTTTGATATTTAAAAAAATGTGTCATAATTTTTTGTGTAACCAATTTTTATTTCTGAATCAATTTCAATTCTATAAAATAATATATATATTATTTTGTGCAAAAATTAAACTAAATTTTAACTTCTACCGTGGAAAAAAACATAAAAATCAGTCTACCAGACCAATTCTTTAGCTTTTTAGATGATTGCTCTCCATTGAGCTATCCGATATCACAGACTTAAGACACTATTTCCCACCATTAACATATGTTTACAATTAAATATAAAATTCTTGATGTTTTAAAAATTAATGTCATTTTTCATTCTTAATCATTTAATTTAAGTCCTTTATTAATAATAAAACTGAGTTGTAAATTACTCTAGAACATTATTATTTATTAAATATAAATTAAAGTGTTAGGAATATATTATACTTCTAATGTAGAGATCTATCACCATATAATTGGACGGAATAGTGATACAAATAGTAAATTWAAAAATAATTACATAACTTATTTGTCTCCTTCAGTAAACAAAAATAGTTTTGGATCTTCAACAATCTGTAGAAAATCAACCTTCACTGGATTTGAACACATTGGACAGCTTTCGCCTGACTCCAATAATCTAAATAAAAATATATCAATAAAATGCAATATGATTTAAAATATAACGACTAGCTTTTCAATATCACAATTAATTGCTTTACAGCTTTACCCGGCAAACTCATTATATAATGCAGGAAATCGACAACTCGGACAAAATGTGAGATTATCTTTAGTAATGTGCCATCCCTAAAATAATACAATGAATAATGAAAATCTTTTGTTGTTTATCTTTTTTAAATATTTTTCACTTACAGATGCTATACAAAAAGGTATAGTGCTTTTACAATTTGTACAAATGAGACTAGTCAAGAGTAAGTCAAAACCACAATATGGACATGGTTCTGTTTTTGTTGTGGTCTCATCCGATAGTGAACCAGCTCTTGGAGACTTTCTAATAACACTTTCAATTTTTTTCCGATACTTTTCATCAATCTTTAATAGACATTAATATAAAACATTGTTCACAGATATTATATTAACAAAAACCAAAATCACCTGTTGTCTGTAATCTGATTTCATTAGAATAGTTGCAAATTTAAATGCACTTTTCTTCAGGTTGGATCGGTAACATTCAATGACAGTTGAGGTTAGTATTTGTACAGCATCTACATGCATAGACCAACGATTATTATTCATTATTGAATCATATTAGCATATAATAGGGAACTCTAATGGATCATATGCCTATTATAGTACTCAAATAGATGAGTAGCTGCAATTTTTCCAATGCATCAAACTCTTTATTCTTATAAGCATAAGTGATTTCTCATACCTCAAGTCTAACAAAAAAATCATTATTAATAGACTTACGTGAAGGAAATCGATCAATATTCTCTGAAACCCTTATCAACAATGGAGCTGCCTTACTATGGTTGTCTAAACGGACATATACTCGCACCAGAATATACGAATGGAGTAAAGCTAAATTAGCTGTCATCTCATTGCTCACTTTTAATTGGTTGTTACGTAATTCACAGATTGTATTATACAAAACATCATGGGCTTGCCTATAATTACCTGTAAATTGTATTTATTCATTGTTAATTTCCAAATCTAGAAAATGTGTTAAAATGTACTGAAAATTGTGCAACAAAAACTAATATTTCATGATTATTATTTATAAGCTATAAGTTTTGAAAAAAAAAAAGATATCTTCAGTATTTGAAAAAAAATGTTACCTTTAACTTGTTCATTAGTTGCTAATACAATAGCTACTTTTGCAGCCTCTATATATCGACTTCTAGCCATGTGTAGTCTGAATAAGAATTTTGGATTCTAAAATGTAATATAACGTAATATTATTAAAATCGTTCAAAATATTTAGAATTTTTCATGAAAATAAAAGATATCGATTAAGAAAATACACAGTAAACACAATTATTCTTATTCTATAGTTAAAAATAAAATGTATTTTTAGTTCATACCCTTGCATGATCATCAATTTCACCTAACAGTAATTTTATAAATTCGTCATCAATAGAACTATTTTTTGCTGCAGCGACTACTTCAATAGCCAAAGACAAAATGTCATCATTAGTTGGATTAGCTTTACTACCTTCAATTAGATTTTTAATAGCCTAAAAATAATTAATAATTGTTATATTTATTTTTATATCAGTCATATTATAAATGTACTCTTTGATAGTTCTTGGCATGAAAATAATATTTTCCCGCTAGAGCTGCATTGTTTTGAGATTCATAATACTTTGCTAGGCTGGMAAACTCGGGGACTGATACTTCTTCATCTTCATCTAATAACACGTCACCATATAATTCTAAATGGTTATGATCACACGCTAATCTAAAAGCGTCTGTAAAACAGTGTGACATTGTTAAAAATCGAATTGCTAGTAAAATTTCATTGTTTTTTTGAAAATATCTGAAAAAAATTATATTTTATCCATTTAATTAATTGCGAAGATATAACATCAAAGATTTTCATTACAAAACTTTTAATAATATTTATCCTAATACTAAATTTAATTTACCTGGCAATCATTTTGGAACCTTCAGTACTATGATGTTCTTGAACTACTGTAATGGCATGTTGTGGATCATCCAGCTTATCTAAATCTATTCTAATAACATTTTCATAGTCATGAGCTGAATTATAACCACATAATGCTTCCTTATAATTTCCCATAGCTTCCATCGCCTATTTTATTAATATAATAGATTTAAATATGGGAAATAATTTAATATTTAAACTTTTACCTTAGCATATTGAGCATGAATTTTGGTTGAAGTAATGTAAGTAGCGTATTCACCTACTTTAGTCCAATTTTTTAAGCGAATATAACAAGAAGCTGCTTGGTCCCAATTTTCAATCTTTTCGTATAAATTAGCTGCTTCGCTTAATTTCTATATAAAATTTATTTGTGTTAAATTAAGAAAATAATCAAACAGCATAATTATACTTTAGTATTTTCTAGTAGCTCGGCACATTCGTTCAATAATTTCTTTGATCCAATTTCCAAAGCTAAATTTATACCCATTTTAGCATTACCATCTTTGATCAAACATCTAGCTATCCCTTCATGGCAATATCTTAGATGATCAGTGTCAGTATCAGAGTTAAGCCCTTGTTCATATTGTAACATAGCTTCATGAGCTTTACCACTAAAAATTAAGAATTAGTAAAAACAAAGTTCAGTAAATTACAATTGGTACAAACATTAATTCAAGCTGTTGACCATATTTAAAAGAAATGTATGGAATTCGTTCAGGAGCCAGTCTTTTTGCAAGATCTAAAGCAACATCCCATTGCAATAAATCTTGTCTCATTACTAACGCTTGAATTGGGTTTGTCGATTCCAAAAACAATTTCTAGAATCAATTATCTTATAACAATACAYATTAAAAATAATTTGTAGGCAAATATTACTTGAGCTTTATCAAATTGTTTCATATACATAGCCAAATAACCAGCAAACAAATTTTTGTCTTCTATATATTTTATCATTTCTAATGACC